GCCCTGGTGCTGTATAAGTCAAAGCGAAGTTTGGGACAGAAGTTTCTAAGCTTCTGTTGCTTCCTGAACTAAAGGCCATCTACTGGAAGCAATCACACCAGAGTGCCCACCTCTTTCCAACTGCCAGCTGCTGTCTACAGCATCTAAAACAGTGTGTAATGAAAGAAATGGTCAGTCAGGTGTGAGAGGCTGAGGCAGCAAGATCACCGTGAGTACACAGAGAGTTTGAGACCAGCCTGGATTACAGTGAGAAATCCTGCCTCTGAAAAAGCAAGCAGACAAAAAACAAACAAACCAAAACCACACAACAAAATAACAACAAAGCAATCCTAATCGATCTCCAGAGAACAGAACAGGAAAGTTCAAGGCAGGCAAAGTGGCCCAACAAACAAGGCAGATGGTACATCAGCCCTCCAGATGCTGGGAGCACTAGAAAAAGTAACATTCTAACAAATTTACCTCCAAATTACAATGCTCAAGGAGAATGGGTTAGAGAAAGAAATTTAGAGAAAGGAGTGGCAGATGAGATGGATGGATTCAATTAAGGTAAAGAACATCAAACAATTCCAGAGTCACCTCATTTGAATGGAATATGTTGTTTTTTCTCCCTCCTACCTCAAGGTAATTCCCAACAGTCCTAGTAGGACACAGGGTGGTCACATAGCACCTCAAACCCAGTGGGTAATTTTTAATTAAAAAATTTTATTCATATGAGTGTTTTGCCTGCATGCATAGAAGTGTACCATGGACATATAATGTCTATGGAGGCCAGAAGAGGGCATCAGATTTCTTGGCACTGGAGTTATGAATGGTTGTTAGCCACCATATGGGTGCCAGGAACTGAACCCAGGTCCTCTGGAAGATCAGCCAGTGCTCTTAACCACTGAGTCATCTCTCCAGCCCAAGTCACTCTTTTTCTAATAAGAGTATAAAACACTTTTATTGCCTTTTAACAATATTTGCAATAATTTGCTACCAAACAGAATTCAGATCTGCAGTAAATCTCTCATAAGCACAGTTGATATATGAGTATAAATGTGTATATAATAATAATACACAGGTGCTGTCTTGATACTAAGCCACCTCAATTTTCACCCAAAGTCAAGTGTAAATGTTTAGTAGTTTGATAAGCAATGTTTCCTTATTCTCTGGCTTCTGGCTCTGTGGTTAACAGACAGCTAAATGTTATCCGATGATGTCATAAGTGGTGATGGTCTCACAAAGTCGGTCTTACTGTCTCTACAGTCAATGGATAGACTGGAAAGTTTAGAGCAGAAACTCAACAACACCATGAAGTCACTCTACAGAAATGTATGATGTATTCTGATTATCAGTTATACAAGGTAACTTATCAAAGTCTTCTTTTTTAGATGTACTACTTCACTGTTAGGTCTCAACCCAAATTTTACTATGTTACAAAGTAAAATTCTCCCAGCTAGAGTCATGCTTAGGCTGCCATCTCCTGACTTCAGGGTCCTAGATAATAAAACTTTTACTCCCAAGAGATTCCACAGGAATGCAAGCTAACGTTAAAATACAGAACCCCTAAATCATTTCTCTAACACTGAGGGGTCCTGACTTGTTCTTTCTTTACTTTTTTAAACATTTATTTTTAATTTTTAGGGGCTGGAGAGATGGCTCAGCAGTTAAGAGTACTGACTTCTCTTGCAGAGGATGTGGGTTCGATTCCCAGCACCCACATGGTGGCTACAAACTGTCCTTAACTCCAGTTCCAGGGGAATCCAAAGCCCTCTTCTGACCTCTGCTGCATTGCACAACACAGGTGCACTCACATACACGCAGGCAATATACTCATACACATAAAATAAAAATAAATAAAATATTTAAAAATTTTAATTTTTAATTTTTAAATTATATGATTGTGTCTGTGTGTCTGTGTGCTGCTTGTCTCTGTGTGAATATGTGCACTTGAGTGCAGGTGCCTAAAAGACCAGAAGAGGGCATCAGCTCTCCCGGAGCTGAAGATACAGGTAGTTGTGAGTCAACCAAAGTGGATGCTTGGAACCAAACTCCAGTCCTTTAAAAGAAAAGTACTTGCTTTTAACCTTGAGCCATCTCTCCAGTTCCTCATCTTTGATTATGTTGACTGACTTATTCAAATGACTCCCAGGAGAAGAGAGAGAATTCTTAAAACTTACATCATTGACTTCCAGAGAGCAGCCTTCCTCAAAGGATTACTAACAAGACATAGCTCCTCCCAAATTGGTGGATTCAAGACCACAGACCCTCACTGGCCAGAGGCTTCCCTTATGAGGGTATAAAAGAAAGAGCTCCCTTGTCACTTGTACCTTCCCATATAGAACAACTCATGATGTGACAATGAGCTTACTTTAGAGCCAGGCAGGGAGAGAGATGAGCATGAGCAAGAAAGAAGTCATGGTCTCTTTGTAACCTAACCTGAAAAGTGAGAAGCCATCACTTTTGTTGTATTCTACTCACGAGAAGGAAGTCATTAGGTTCAGCATGAACTAAAAGGAAAAAGATTACACAAGAGAGTACCAGGAGGAAGGATTCTTGGAGGCCAACTTTAGGGGCTGCTGTGCCTGCTTTGCAAGCACATTTAAATAAAGCAATAAATGCCAACCATAGCTCATAAACAGGGGCGAAAAGATCACTGCAGCACCTACTTGCTTATTGTTTAAATGCCTCTCTCCTTGTCCAACCCCAGCCCCAATCCAGCTAAGCCACCTGTCCTCAGACTGGTGCTTTTTTCTTACAGTCTCCCACATTGGTGTCACCCCTCCACAAGCACAGCTCTACCAAAGTCCAGCCTGTTGGCTCTTCACACCATGAACGTTACCACACTACTTTTGAAAGCAGTCTGTACATTCTGATTTTTTTCTGGATACCACCAGAATAATCTGTTTTAACTAGTCTCTAACTAGTCTTTCTGTGCAGAAAGCCCTCCCCCACCCCTCATTCCCGGTTCTGGTTTCATTTCTGTGCTGGGATAAGATACCTGGAGGAAAAGCAATGTAGGGGAAGAAGAATTTGTTTGCTTTCCAATTCCAAGTTACAGTCTATCATTGCAGGGAAGTCAAGGCAGGAACTCAAGCAGCAGCTGTCATATCACATCTGCAGCGTGTGTGTGTGTGTGTGTGTGTGTGTGTGTGTGAGAGAGAGAGAGTCTGGTTTCATTTCTGTGCTGGGATAAGATACCTAGTTCTGTTCCTTTAGAGAAAAAACCCCTAATACAGCCTCTTTACTTGGCAAGACCAGACCTTACCTTACTAGAAATCCTTTCCATCTTCTAAGACACAGGGCAGAGTCCATTCTCTTGGTGGCACATTTTCTGAACACTCCTAGTGCTAGTTTTCAGTTTCTGGTGGATCTACTCCAGCTCTAAAAGACTATACAACGTGGCCACTGGTGTTACTATGCATGCACCAAGCTTTCCTAGGGACTTAGGCTTGGCCCTTCTTCTAACTGCAATTCTGTGGGGAACAGGATGGGCTGCCCTTTTCTTCCCTTCCTAAAGACAGGTAATCCAATGACAGATAATGTTATGTGAAAAGATGGATGGATGGATGGATGGATGATGGATGGATGGACAGACAGACAGATGATGCAAAGAAATGGGAATCACAAGGCCTGGTTGAGCATAAGAAGTCAAAGTATAATAAACATTTCCAAATCTACCAATATTTAGAATGGGAATTCTTTACCTAGTGGCACCTTAGCTGCTTAGGAATTCTTCCAAAAAGCGCAAGAGCTAAGGAGATTTGTCCCTGTCTGACATAAGCAGGACGGTTCCCACACACATCCTAGCTGAAAACACAGCCATAACTCCTCCTTCATCACCCATCCTAAGGCTGGTTTTGAGGTTCAGGGTGCCGAGTGCCAAGATGTTCCATGGCCCAAACCGAGTAGACTTCTGTATCAAGCAATGCTTCAGAGCAGGGCAAATGAGCCCCGGAGACAGCAGAAGAGGAGAATGAAAGATACTGGAGAAAAAGAGAAGTGTTGATTGTGGGGTAATTCTCTCTTACATTTTAGGTAATTCCTAGTAAGCAAACAAACAAGCAAACAAAAAAACATTTAAAGAAACAGCAGAAGATGTTTAAGGCCCGGGTTACCTGCCCCTAGGGGTCAGACGGGAAATCTCAAAGCACCAAGTGCCCCAGAGTCTGAAATAACTCTAGCATCCCTCGGGTTCTAGGTGGCCAGTGACTCCTCCCCAGCGTCAGATTCCCACAGAGGGATGCCTGCGCTCCTCCGGTACCCTCCTTGATCGGTGGGGAGCGTAGGTAGGGTGCTGCGGGAGTGCCTAGGTCTGCGGCATCTTCTAAGAGCAGAGAACCCTCCACTCCCGCTCTCTCCGGATGGCCGGGTCTCTACCAGTGAGGACAAGCGTCGCGCAGACTCTCGGGGGCACTGGAGCTAAACTGAGTTTGGAGTTCTGCCGGGAGCAAGAAAGGCTCTCTCCCCTCGCTCCCCTCGCCCCCGACTCACCTTCTCAGAGCCACCTGCATCTCCCCCAAAGGCATCCATCCGAGCAGTGGCCGGGGTCACCCCGAGAGGAGACAGGGTGCAGGGGACCGTGGCTGGGAGGCATGCTCGTCAGAGTCCCCTACTCGCCTTGGGGTGGTAGTAGGATGCAAATCAGCCCGGACGGTACCCACTAAGCCTCTGGACTCCCGCGAGGACATCGCACCTTGGGCGATAGGGACCCGGGGAGGGAGGGTCAAAACTTTGGGTCCTCCAGCGGCGACTTGCAGGAAGGGCGACCTTTGCTTCGGCCGGGGGTCGTGCGGGGCCACAGGGCCGCGGGATGAGCCGGGCAGCTGGGCGCGGCATCCTGGAGCTCAGGTTGCGCTGTGCTCTGCCCTACACGCGCTGCTCAGGGCCTCCGGGGCTCCGCGCTCCCTGGCCCGCGCGCTCCCCGCCTCTCTGGCGCCCCCAGCGGCCGCAAGCAGCACTGCAAGGCCGGGCAGGCCCGAGCGCGCCCCGCCTCCCGCCTCCTCCGCCGCCCTCCTCCCCCTGGCAGAACACTCAATGTCGGAACGTTCCGAAGATGACGTCGGAGCGTTCTCGAATCCCGTGTCTCTCGGCTGCTGCTGCCGAAGGAACAGGGAAAAAGCAACAAGAAGGAACAGCAATGGCGACACTGCATCGCAAAGTGCCCAGTCCGGAGGCGTTTCTGGGCAAACCCTGGTCCTCCTGGATCGACGCTGCCAAATTACACTGCGCCGACAGTAAGAACCCCACCGCCTGCTCCTCCTTTTATTATCCTGTAACCTTTCCATTCACCTAGAGCCACTGGGAAAAAGTGTGTGTGTGAGAGAGGGAGAGTGGCCCCCGGCGTCCTCCATGCTTCTCCCTCTCTCTCTAAATAAATACACACAGACATAGACCATCAGAGCACAGAGAGGCCCGGCTGCCAGCAAGGCTGTCTGTCTGTCTGTCTGTGCCCGGCTCCCCGGGGCAGGCAGCCCGCGGGGTGGGCTTTCGCAGCCCCACGCTGGTATCTGTTTAAAAGGCGACTCTGTTGCTGCTTGCATAGTTCTTTTTTTTTTTTTTTCCTGGGGGCGGGGGTTACCTATCTGGGCCAGGTAGATGGAAACCCAGACTTGGGAGAAAATGTTGCATTGTCAATTTTTGCAAGATTTTCAGACACAGTATTTATATCGATCTGTTTGCCAATAAACACTCTCCCTCCCCCTTTGACTTTGCCCCCCCCCCTTTTTTCCTCATTTTCTTTTTTCCTTTTCTTTTTCATCTGCAGATGTAGATTTAGAAGAGGCTGGAAAAGAGGGTGGCAAAAGCAGGGAGGTTATGAGGCTTAATAAAGAAGGTAAGTGGAGCTCCTGGCATTTTAGTGTTAGCATGTGTGGCAGAGTCTGCACAGGCTTTGGAATATCATGTGAATTGTTCTGCTGGGTACAGAGTGACTAAGGCTTGTCAAAAAATTGAGCACGCCTAGGTGCTTCATCTTAACTTCTTTCAAAGTATAAATACAATTGGGGGGGTGCAGGCAGGGGGGAGGCTATGGAAGGCAGAAGTTTACCGCACTTCCACTGGAGTCTACAAATCTCCTATCCGCCATTCTCCTTGGAGTACCATTGGCCAGTGGTGGGGGTGTGTGTTGAAATCCCCAAAGTGAGGATTCACAAGCTTCCCTCTTGCATAAATTTGCAACAGTTTTAATGAACCCCACATGGTTGATCATCCCAGAAGCTACTTCATTCTCCACTGAAAACCATTGCACATGGCATGACATTTGGCCCACTTTGTGTCCTGTCATTGATTGTTAGGTGGTGACTGGAGTTGGGGGCATCAGTATGTGCAATCCCCCAGCCTGCACTCCCCACCCCCATCTGTGGTTCTCAGCATGCAAATATGGTACCTGAAAGTGGATACAGTGAATAGACAGGTGATCCCAGGTCTGGGCATGTGAATGAAGCCATAGTCTTCTGGAGATGGGCATCACACACTGCGGCTGTTATGTCAATCATCCTGGTTATTGGCAAGCCTGAAATCTGTAAGTCTGGCCTATGGCTTCAAGTGGAGCAACTCTGGAGGCTGCTTTCTGCTGAACAAAAGGATGAGTACATTTGAGTTGTGATGCTGGAGTCTTGTAAACATAATTGATTGAAATTGGGGGTGGGAAGAAGGGGCAATGGGGCATAAGAGGTTGATGGGAGGTGTGGAAAAAGCTCAGACAAAACTTAGCTAGAGGAGCATTTGCTCATCTATCATGAATATAGAAAAAGCCATTCTACTCTATAAACTAGTCCCCTCATGAAAGGGGATGTCACCTGAAAAGGTGCCTGAAACCTGCTTGGAAAGATGGAACTCACCTTGCCGACTGATACCTAAGACAATTGGTTTTTCTGTGCACAATCATTTCCTGACCGTTCAATGAGAGAAAAATTTGTGCTTCAGGAAGAAATAACATGGAGGTTAACCTGTATGTATATTCAAGGACATCTCTCTAACATACTGTTTCTGCTAATTAAGTACTTTGGGAACAAAGCATTATTCTAAAGATGTTTGCCTCTAAATATCTTAGTGTGATCTTGATGCGTGTTTAGGATACATGAGGGAATGGTGTCAAGTGGGCTTCTTACAAGTGGCTGCTTATTTGTGCTAAATGTCCATGTGTGTTGGCAATGGAAAGGATCCCTAGAGGTTGTTTCTCTTCACAGAAAACTCTTGAGATCTTGAACCACTTAGAGAGCTGAGTTCTCAGACCACCAGCAATGTTGCCATGATTGGGGGCACAAAAGCCTTTCCACTGAAGTTGAGTAAGGGTGGTAGCAAGCTCCAGATTGGCCCCTAGCAGACCTGGGTGATGGATTGGGACCATAATCCACAAAACTCAGATTCTCCCACCACTACTTTCCATTCGGAAACATTCTTGTTCTCAGATTCTCTTTTTTTAAGAAAAAAATGAAAAGCTATTCTTCCCTCAGAAGTCACAGATGTTACATCCTGCTTGTTAAGTCTTTTGTCCTGTTAAAGGTACAAAGATTTAGATCTTATTACATGCATTTGCACAGAGACCACCCACTGTTCAGTGTAGCATGCAGTTGGCTGCATAGCCAGTTATGGGCTTAATCTCTTTGTTCGGCCTGGTCTGGTAGACTTGGGTGAGCAGTTTCTGATGGTCTTCCTGGTATATGAATACGGTTTGCCTTATGATAAAATATGCATGTAACAAATACATGTCCCCCATGGAGAACGTAAGGGTTGAGTTGAGACTCTATGTCAGGGTGTTTGTTCATATTGGGCCACCTTGTTGGAGTTGATAAGTGGGAGGGCTTAGAGTGGGCAGATGTTTGTGGATGGGCCACTGTAGGCACAAAGTGGCCCTTATGGGACCCTGTGCATCTGTGTTCACGAACATACATGACTGACCATGATATTGTTGATCTTAAGCAGGGATGGAGAAGAAATTTGAATTTTAATGGAATAAAAGAATAACACTTGGGATTCCATTGAGCAATGAAGGGATATCATTTTGTGGTATTGTATACATAACATAAAATTTACCATTTTAAGCACTTCCAGCATACAGTCCAGTGGTATTAACTACATTCACAGTGTTGTACAGCCACTATTCATTTCCCCCTTCTCCTCAGCCCTGATAGCCTCTAGTCTACTTACTGCCTCTGTGAAGATTCCTCTGCCTCTGCTCTGTTCTAGATTCCACATGTAAATTGAATCACACAGGCCATTTCTCCAGCTATAAAGCAAGAGGGTGGGACTAATTGTCCTCCACATTCCCTCTGAGACCTCCACACCCAAGGTTCCCTGTTGAATGTCCCTGCCTTTAAGATACAGTCATGCCAGACAAGTTACTTCTAAAGAAATTTAAAAAAAAAAAAAAGTCAAACTGTAGCATAAAAACAAACAAACAAAAAAACCTTAAATTACTTCAGAAATACTGAGAATAACTGGGTATATTTTCTCAGTTTTTTACTTCATGGTAACAAAAATCACTGTGTAGTCTACTGCAAATAGTGGTGAATGGTTTGGGGCCTTCAATGGTCTTGAAAAAGTGAGGGACTGAATCCAGACTCAATAGAAGTAAAGGCCTTAGTGGAAATGTTCTCCCTAGTGGGGAGTGCTAGCCTCAGTCAGCTGGGGTCTGTCAAGCTGTGAGTTTTCCTCAGAGGAGGGCCCCAGGCACTCCATACTGCTAGCCCAGTCTTCAGGGGAACTGTGCTACTGAAAGAAAATTCTAAGGAAGGGCGTTCTTCTATGCCAACCCTGTAAAATCATGTTCTCTCCTTCACGTTGGTAGATTTCACCTGGAGACTTTTCCTAAGCCAACTGGGGAAACCTCCCCCAATTTAGGAAGATGTTCTGTTTCTAAGGGCCTCACCCAAACTTTTTAAAAGAAACGTCAGTTCATAGTCAAGGACTAGGGTCCAGACAGCCCAAAAGTGTCCTTAACTGTAAAGCAGAAGCTAGCAGAGCTGCTGGGAGGACTAAGTTAGATGATTGAAGGCTTATCAGACAGTATGTGCTGAATGCATGCTCACTTTTGTTCTCTTATGACTATCACCAGCATTTATTACTGAAGTCAGTTCTACAAAACTCTATTGTTCTAATTACTTGGAGTCTTAAAAAATTTTTTTTTGGCTTTATTTTTATTTTCTGTGTATGTGTGTATTGAGTACATGTATGCAAGTGCATCTGTGTCATGCAGTGCCCGCAGAGGACAGAAGAGGGCGTCGGATCCCCTAGAAAGGTTGTTAGCCACCATGTGGGCGCTGGGAATTCGAACCTGGGTCTGCTGCAAGAACAGCCAGTGCTCTTAACTGTTGAGCCATCTCAAAAAGACCAAAAAGAAAAAAAAAAAAAAGGAACAGAATTTTCATTTTTAGAGTAATGCATATTATCATAATTTTATAAAGCTAAACAATTTCTGTGAGCATGGCGTATTTGATATAGTGTAGCTAAGAAGTAGGTCTTATCAAGAGCTGAAGAAAAAGTGTTCTGGCAGTTCATGAGTAAAAAGAATTTTTACAAGTTTTTTTTTTCTTTTGGTGATTGGAGGCCTAAAAAAAATACATTTAAAATGATACATTGCTTCATTCTATCATTGAAAACAGTAAGTCTTGGGCAGATCCTTCCCTGGATCTTTTGGAAGCCCATGCTTGTGACTTCGGGCACTAGTCTGTGTTCTATGCAGGTCCCCTTATGTTTTCATTTGATGGAGATAAATGTCATTTGCCTCCAGTTGCAAAGTGTGCTCAGGACAGGGAGAACTTACTGTAGCTGTGGGGCCAATGTTCTGAGATGAAGAGCAAGCAGAGAACCTGGAAGTGGGCTCAGGGCTGCACTGGAGCAGACTGGAGGGAAAAATGGCAACTGGCCTGGGAAGGATGACATATTCTTACCACCCAAGCCCAGGAAGCCAGAGAGACAAGCCATGGAGATTTATGGGAAACTGCATCCTGCTTCCTTTATCTTTGCACAGACTACTCTGTTATCTGTGTTAATAGGAGATGGAAGGCCCAAGTTTGCAGATTACCCAGATAAACCTCACTTTCATTATTAATTTCAACTTAGTTCATGGTAAAGACTACTTTCCTCCCCTTTGATATAAGCGACAATATTTGTTCATGTTGACCTTGCATTGGTATCTCTTTTTCCCTGGGTTTGGGATGGAAGAAAAGGACAGACAGGAGAGATGGAGCAGCTTAAGGTAGTTGGGAGGAAAGAGGAAAAGAATTAAGGTCCTGGAGAAAACAGGGTCTATGGTGGCAGCCAACTGACAGGGCAGCTAAATTGAGAAATGGTGGCTGGACAATCCAGTTTGGGAAATATAAAGCTTCCCAATGGGTATCTCTTTTTTCTTACAAGTATTTCCGTGTGCCCTGATCCTATGTGTAGAAAACATGGCTGTTTATCCTTCCAGAACAGGAAGTTAGACAGGATGGCCACACTTTGAAACTGTGTATACAAGAATATCTTCAATATTATCTTTACATTAGGCCATGGTTTCACTGTGTCCTGTGAGAGTAATGGATTTCCATTTGTTTGTTCTTTCGCTCTGAAGATGTAGATTGTTATATTCATCTAATAGCTACTTAAAAATATGTCCATGTTACAAAATTTCAAAGAATATGTACCTTATCCTGGCAAGTCTCCCTCTCACCCCTGACCCTATTTGTTTCTGTATCCTTCCAAAGATGTCCTGGGTACACTGAAGTAGATCCATCCTCTTGCTACTTGATGAGTGACTGAAGCATCTTGCTATTTCTCTGTCTCGGAGGGCTATCTATGTTGGTGTAAGGGGCTGCCTCAGGCCGCTGAGGTTCCTGGTATGGGAAGGTGCTG